ACCCAACCCATTCCATGATTCCATTTAGGAAGGCTCTGTGTACATATGTGTGTGTGTGTGTGTCTCCATGTGTGTGCAGTACTTGGCACTGTTTTGCTTTGCGGAATGAGGCCTTTAAAATGATCATGCATTTGCTCTTACCACATGCATAGCTGACGTTAAGGTATTTGGTCACTCCAGGTAGGCACGGACTTCCAAAATCCCGGCTAGTGACAATGATTTTGCATCTCTGTTTCCCGTAACACCTTTTTGATAAAACATCTAGCGCCATGTAAGACAAGCAGTCTGAAAGAAAAATACATACAATAAACATACTGCACTGAAACGATAGCTGCTACAGGCACGACTAGAGATACAGAGCTGCTGTTGATTTCAGGGATATTTTTGCCCAAGCAGAATTTCAGAATTAAATACTAAGATTTATGAATTCAAGGAAATCAGCTGCAATGAAAATGTAAACTTGCAGCAAGCTAACTACATCATCCTGACTTTCAGGTGCAGACTGAAGTTGCAATAAGATTCATATCAAACTCCAATCGAAGTGCCCAGTGTAGGACATCTATGTTCCCTTCATGATGACTAGGAAAAAATAGGTGCATCTCAATAGCTGTCCATCTGTTCCATCTCAAGATGAGCGTGCAAATAAAGGGAGATGCAATGTGGTTGCAGGTCTTTCTCTTGGTCCCTGGGTTATTGAGATGACTTGACTGGATGCCCAATTTCAGTTCAAGTCAGGTGAGATCAATTTTTATGTGTCGGAACGGCTAGGGCTCCAGTGACGTTCAGAGTATTAAAGGGAGCTTTTGACTTACGCCTGTTGCTGATAGGAGCCATTCTGCCATGCGAAGAGGTCAAAATGGGCTCAATATTTAACCAGGGAAACATCTGGCTTCTTCCTCTCATATCACATTTCATATCAGGCTGTTCTATTAAGGCTGCCGCCACAAGCCAAGTCTGCGTGCCTAAATCAACCTCAGCGGCATCTGCGCTGCCTTCATGCCCTGATTGCATGAGGTAACCCACACCATTTTCAACGCAGCCTAAACTACCCTGACTTTGTGCAGATGAAGAGAGTCTAGGTTGGCGAACCTCTCCCCGTGGACTGAGCAAGAAGCATGCGCCCTGTGTGTGAAAACCTGCCTTGCTGCACTTGGAGGTGGGATTTCTTTATTCAAGACTTACGCCTTCCACCACAATTTAGAAAAGAACAGAACCTGATTAGAAGGATTTTGCACTGAAGCTGAAATTACTTGAGTGGGAAAGTGCGTGTGTCAAACTTAGAAAAATGTGCTTTTAAGAAAGAATGTCTCTAGATGTGATTAAATTCCTGGTATCCACATGTGCTAAACTCCAAGACACAAATAATATTAAAAAACAAACAAACAAACAAACAAACAAAACCCCTTAGTTTTCGTTTCTAAACAGAAAGTACGCAGAAATTACAAGTCTGGAGTAAGTAATACTTTTCTGAAGCTGTCTGCTTCCAGTTAGTGTTACCTCAGGCATTTTGTGACTTTCTGTGATGATAGGGATTTCTCACTCTAGCCTTCTGAGGCAGGGACACTCTAGAGATCTGAAACGTTTTTCTCTGGGCATTAGAACAGTCCTCCTTCCTATAATAAAAAGTGAGGCAAGGACAGCATCTCGTCACCTTCCAACTGCTGAAGCTCATTTGTGCCTCTTTAGAGGAAGGAGAAACAGTGCTTGCAAAGGTATTCCAAAGGGTCCCCAAATCAGTCTTGTTTGAAAAGAAAGAGGAGGTTTGAGACTGGAGTTCTTGGCAAAGGTGGTTGACATTTAAGATGTGAAAATGGGGCAGTTTTGTGATTTTTAGAATTAATCCCCTGATGCCAGCACTAAATAAGTCATATATACTTGAGTAGAGCCATCTGGAGGTACTGGGCTGATCTGTTTGCTTGGAAAAGGGCTCATGGGCTACCTCTGGACATGGATTTTGGGGAGAGCAACTCTTCCTTTATATTTTCAGAGACCTCAAATCCTAATGCCCACGTGTCCCGGGAGTCTGCTGGGCAGTCAGGAAAAGCTGACCTAAAACATCGGGTAGTTCTGATTAAGTAACTCAAGACATTTCAGTTTCCCTCTCTGCCAATTTCAGGTGAGTAAGGATATATTTGCGTGGACATTTTAGGCAGCCAAGTAGCTTACTTTGGCAAGTACGAAAACACCTGAAGAATATCAGGAGAAATTATCAGATGATTCATAAATTAATGGATTGGGACCACAACAGCAATCTGGCAAACCGAATTCTGTTTTCTACAAAGTTTCCTGCCCTGTGAGCAATTCACGGCGTCTTAAAAAACAGGGGGGTTGTGCTGCCGGTTTTGTACATACTCAGTGATAGAGTGAACACATGTTTCATTTTGCCTGTGGTAGATGTTTGCTCATGTTTCTGTGGGAGTTAATAGCTCCTTATCGTCTATATTCATGCTGGATTTGGCTCCTCTACCTGAGGAGCCAGCCGTCATCTGCCTGCAGGCTATTGGCAGGCCAGTTCTTGGAGAGTGTCACAGGGTGAGTAAATGCAAACTGAGGCTGGCTTGCTTTTGCAGGACACCACAGTTCTTAGCTGGAAAGACATATAACAACCAAAAAAAACCCCCAAACCCAACCTATTTAACAGCTTCCTGTGGTCTAACACGAAATTGGTGTTTAGTGATTAAGTCAAAAAATGTTCAATTCTTTTCCTCTCTGGTTTATGTGTGCCCTTGCTATCTCCCCACTAGCTCTCCCAGCAGCTATGATGGCAGCTGAGCAATGATTTCAGCTCAGAGGAATCCTGTGTACTTGGTACCAAACGCCACTTTTCCGACGTCTGCAGCTTCGCCTCCACGATCTCCCACGAGCAGACATTACAGAGGTGTATCTGCCTCCAAGCCAGAAGAATCGGTGGGTGCTGAAGGGATGTTCAAGCTAGTTCCAACCAAACTTGCTTGGGATCTAATAGCAATCCAGCTGCAGCAAGGCAGCGCTCTTGCTAAGAATAACTCATCCTCCTTCTGGACAAACACCTTACTGCCGTGTCTGAAAGAGGGGAGGGTTCAGTCAGTGCTCCATTCTAAGTAAAAGAGTGAATAGTCCCACCGAGCGGTCCCGAAGAAATCCCCGATCAGGAGATGAACATAAATATGCAGTGTGTTTTCTTTCTGAGTATCTTAAGCAATGTTTGAGCTACACATAGGTTTATGGGGCTTGCTAAATGGGTACCACAGCTTTAAAATAAACTGCCTCATGAAAGGCACGTTCCCCGCATGCCAGAAGGCTGGTGGCATCCACCAGCAGCGGCAGAAAAGGCAGTCAGTGTGTGGCTGGGAAAACACTTCATTCTTCACGCCTTTCTCCCAAAGATGCCTGCTACACACCAAGACTGTTGGTGGGTCTTTTGAAACAGACACTTCCATGGATGGCATGGAGATACGGGTGTCAAGAAGAGGTTCTTAATGCAGTAATAAACTATCCCATCTGACTGCAGCTATTTAACAGTTGGAGTAGAAAGCCTTGTTCTGGAGGAAAGGCTCTTTCAGCTCCCTAATTAGCTTTGTTTAGGAAAGTTTTGGCATGCAAATGACATGCCATAAATCATGCAGGCTTTAATGAGAAACAATTTGTCTTCTGGTTTCTTAAAGCTTCTCTCCGTCCAGACAGAAGGAGCTTTCCCTCCCTTTCTTTCCACCCTGCCACAGAAGATCTGCAGGTGATGGAGCAGCCAGAGCTGGCCCGAGCATCTTGTGCCAAGCTCTGGCAACAGCGTCCTGTCACACCCTCTCCAAACGTTACTAATTGCTGTCTTCCCCCCATCCCTATGCACAGGGTGAGCCTCAAGGCATGGGGGGTAGGGGATGTATCTCTAATGTAGATCCGCCTGGCATAAAAGGTAACGTGCTGGTGAAGGACCAGGGCATCCAAAACCTCTCCACAATTTGTCACTCCAATACTGGAGTCCAGCTGCTTCTTGCTTTCATCCCAGACTGCGGGCTTATGCTGCTTTACGCGTCCCGGGCTGTGCCTACCCACAAAAGAATAAGGAGCTCCCTTTTAGAATCCACTGAAAGCAAAGATTTCACACTACCAAATCGGGACGGCTTGTGCTTTGTGGGGCCCAAGTATCAACTCTGGGGATAAGAACTGACAAGTGGAAACTATGGAGTTCGGAGCAAGCTAAGGCTGCAGACTCCTAAAGAAAGTTACCATAATAATATGGTAATTTATGCAAGAGCATGGCACACAGGGTCCTTTTAGAATCCACTGAAAGCAAAGATTTCACACTACCAAATCGGGACGGCTTGTGCTTTGTGGGGCCCAAGTATCAACTCTGGGGATAAGAACTGACAAGTGGAAACTATGGAGTTCGGAGCAAGCTAAGGCTGCAGACTCCTAAAGAAAGTTACCATAATAATATGGTAATTTATGCAAGAGCATGGCACACAGGGTCCTGCCTA